GAGCAGTCAACTGAGTTTGCTCCCTAGAATATACGCTGGAATCCTCTGCAATGAAAAGGCAGTCCAGTCACTGTGTAAAGTGTTCCACTGAGCACTGATAGCCATAGAAGAATAATGAGTTCCCGCCTGTTATCAAGATAGAACTTTCTATGGTGATTTCTTTGTCTTTCAAAAGACTTCAAGGGAGAAACTGATTGACCATTACCTCGGGAACAACCCAGATGACTCGGCCTTAGAAGGAACGTACATGGGGTAAGAATGCCCTTGCCATGTGGCACTTCCTCACCTGCCACAGTTTTGTCCCGCCAAACTTTCCTGAGGTTAAATGTGTCACCCTTGCCTTGGATTTGATGCAGTGGTATTTACATCTGGCTACCTTTCCCCCTTTCCTCCCAGGAAGTCAGATTCCATTTCGCCGCTGGATGATCTGGCCTTTGACATGTACCAAGATCCAGAGGTGGCTCAGATCATTCGGAAATTGGATGAGAAGAAATTTGAAGCGGTGCGGCACGAACATTACGATCACGCAAAGAAGCTTAAGCAAGCCATTGCGGACCTGCAGAAGGTACTGCTAGAACGGGATACTCTTGATTCTGGAGGGGCTTGTTGCTGGGGGTGGAGCAGCAGACAGCCGTGGTCTCGCCTAGTTGTTTACCATTTTGTTGTTCAGTCACACAGTTGAGTTCGACTCTTTGCAACCCCATGGACCACATCATGCCAGGCCCTCCTGTCTTCCGTCATTCTCTGGAGTTTGCTCAACTTCATGTTCATTGCATCAATAATACTGTAACCATCTCATCCTTTGCTGTCCCCTTCTTCTTTTACCTTCAATTTTTCCCAGCATCAAGGTCTTCTCCAGTGAGTGCTCCCTTCTCATTTGGTGGCCAAAGTATTTGAGCTTCAGCTTCAGTATCTGGCCTTCCAAGGAACAGTCAGGGTTGATTTCTTTTAGGATTGACTGATTTGATCTCCTTGCAGTCCAAGGGACTCTCAAGAGTCTTCTTCAGCACCATAATTTACCATAGGCAGGTTTTTTTTTTAGCAATCTTGGATAAAGGGCTTCATTTTATAACTTGAAGAAAGGAAGTTTATACTATATGGGGTTTCCGCATTTTGTCTTGATTTGGTGGCTAGCCTAGGTCGAGCTTCATGGCTGAGCAGGGATTTAAATCCGGACCTTCCTGATTCAGGTCCAGCACTTGAACCTATACCCTTGCTCTGACCTCCCAGCCTGCGGATTCAGCTCCTCTTTAGCAAATCAGTGGCAGCTCTTATGTAATTGGTGCAGTTCCAGATACAGATTAAAAACATACATACGTGAAAAATAAAAACGTCATATACAGCAGCCTGTTAGAGTTGCACGTATAGTGATTACAAGATGTCAACAAGCTACATGCTTGTAGTGAATTATTTAAAACCTGCTTGGCCCTGAAAAGGTCTTTTATTTTTTATGTGTGTGCAACGTGGTTTAGACCACTGAAGAAGACCCTTAGGGCCAAAATGCATCTGGCTTAGTGGTAATGTATTTTTATGTGAAATCATCGTTGACATCTTGTAATTAGTGTACGCACAACTCTAATAGGTTGCTGAATATAACATTTGTATTTTTCATGTATGTATGTTTTGAATCTTTATCTGGTGCACTATGCAATAAATACTTATATTTTTTCATGATATTGCTACCCATCCTTTTGAGTATGTACCTTGATCTTCAGGTTTGGGTTTGTTTCCCTTTTGTTGTATCTTTGGTGCAGTTCCAAATGTACGTATGTGTGTGGGTTTCTTAAAGGAAAAAGCTATTCATGCTCCTGAGGAATCCTGGGAGCAGATGGATGCTTCCTGCTAAAGGGTTTGAAGCAAAATGGGGTCTGGATGGGGCTTTCAGTAATAAGAGCGGTGATGGTGTACAGGATTGACCCACCCAGCCCAGTCCATGGGTGAGAGGGAATCCTGTATTTCCAGCACATTAAACAAAAATCCACGAGACAGTCTGTACTCTCTCGAGGCTTCACAACAGTTTGCCACTAGAATCTCTTCACAGGGGTCCCCACCTAGCCTAAGAGCAGAAATTCAATCTCTTAGCTGGCATCTGGGACTTAACACATCAGCAACTCTAACTCAGAGGTGCATACAATTACTATCACAGTGGTAGCTCCGTGGTCAGCCTAGGAACAAGATCTAGCCTTGGAGTTCAATTACAGCATCACAGACAATTACAAATATGAATGATCTTTATTCAGTGCAAAGCGTACAAGAGACTAGCAAAAGATAAGAAACAATAGATATCTATAGCCTGTTCAGCTCTAGCTACACACTAGAAGTCATAGTTACCAGGCTTTCAGAGGTATCAGATGAAAATAGTCCAAGGTCTCACCAGGGGATCTTGAAAAGGAACCACATGGTGCTGTGGGCAGCTAGTCCAGCTCGGCTGCCTAACAGTCTCCTCCATGTTAACAGCAAACAGTCAATCCAAAAGAACTCTTTGTTTTCCAGAGAAGAACTCCATTCTCTCCTCTAACTCCTACATTTCCCATATAGATCATTGCAGATATGCCCCCCCTCCGTCACCACCAGGTATGGCCATTTACCCAATAGTGAGAGAGTGGGAAGGCGTTCCCATCTCTGGTTACCATGCATTGTCAGGCAAGGTGTGTTTTGATTGGCTAGCAGTTGGGCATCCCTCTCTAGCCTCTGCTATTGACCATGTGTCATGTCAGGGAATGCTTTTGATGTGTTAATGTACTGGGCATAGCTGTCCCAGGCGCCCGCAAGTTGCCTTCTCTTGGCAAAGGTGTCAAAGTGTCTTGTATATGGAGATGTTGGCCTGGCCATCTGGCAAGCCATTCGTACAGGTGACAGAAATAACACAGTAGTGATACCAGGAGGCCATCTGGCCCCAGCAGGGAAGATTTTAGAAAAGGCTTTTTCTATACAGATGGTAGTAATCCAGTGTTTGGGTGCTGGCTGTGTGCCAAAGTTTAGTGTATTCCTGTTTTCATAGCGGGGGTGGGGGGAAGCAAAAATATTTTAAATGTTTCCCCTCCAGATTTCTAACGAAGCATATTAAGTGTGTTTGAAAAGACTAACTGACTTCCTTATAGAGACTTATACGGACATTCTAGTATGTAAACGAGCTGCCTGTGTCACAGCGCTTTAAAAAAAGCTTTCAAAAGGTCAGAACCAGAAGCCTTGCTTGTACCTCCCATTCTCTATGTATGAAAATCTTCTTATTGTAATACATGAACAGGGACGGAAGTTCTAAGAGAAGCAAACTCATTTCCAGTTCTCTCAACCCCGGGATTTACTTTCTCTGACATTAGGAAGGAGGCTTCCACCTTTGGCAGTGACTTCTGAGCTCCTGTATTTCAGGTTGGTGAGAAGCTGGGCCGCTACGAGGTGGAGAAGCGCTGTGCTGTCGAAAGAGAAGACTACGATGTTGCCAAGCAGAAAAAGCAGCAGATGGAAGAGTACCGCCTGAGAGTTTACCAGCAGCTGGAACTGCATAAACTCCTTGATCCCGATCTGACGGTGGGCAGAGACATCTGTAACAGCACTGGTTATAAATTTGTGTAATTCAGTGGTTGCTTCCATTTGTTCGCTTCGGTGTTCACCTTCTTGCATTCAAAGGGGATTTGTACAATTTTAAATTCACCAGATGCTAGGAGGAATAGGAATGTCGTAACACTTCTAATGGAATATCAGAAAGGTTGTGGCCTTCCATGCTTAGGAGGAAGGTTCCATTAAGAGGGGGCAGCCGCTGAAAAACTGTTCTAGTTGCTGCTGTCACGGTTCACTTAAGGGATTATTGGAACCTCCAACAGTGGCTTGCTCTCTTGGTCTCAAGTAACATATGTCTTTTAGACAGGGAGGTCCCAGAGCCTGAATAGCTTTAATGGGTTGAAATCAGCACCTTGAATTGAACGCAGAAGCAGGTAGGCATCCAGTGTAGCTGACACAGTACAAGCTATATGTGACCATGCCAACCTGCTCTGTATAACAGATGGTTTTGCACCAGTTGAAGATTCTGTGTTGTCTTCAAGGGAAGTCCCTAAATGTAGTGCATTTACAGTAGCCTGTCCTGGAAGTTACAGAAGCCCAGATCAGTGTAGCTGTCAGACTGGTCCGTGACTTGAGATTGCCAAAAGATTCTTTAAAAAACCCGAACCAAACTCTGTTCTAAAGCAATTAAAATTCCTTCCATTTTCTCAGTCCAAATATTAAGGTCTGTTATATTGCAGAGTTGTTGGAGATATAAAATTTCTGAAAATTTTGAAGCCATGGGGGGGGGGAAATGAGTTTTTTCTTGTCATTTTTGTTATTGCTTTTCAGGGGGGAAATGGAGATTTGGGGAAAACTTGAACTGTATGTGGTACCTTCCTATCAAACCTAAACCTCCTTTTCTGTTCTAACAACATGAAATACATCATTTATAAGTAACTCTTATTGATTGGCCTATTAATGGATTACAGCAGCATAAATGCCTTAGTTTTCTACAACCAAAACTGCAAACACACCCTGTGTTAAAGCAAGAGGGAGAAAGCTGCAAACAGTTGCACTCTCTATAAGCACATTTCATTCATTCCAAAATATATATTTTTCATAGCTTTTCAGTGCTCCCCCAATTTCCCCAATTGAAAATTTGAAAGAAAAAAAGTCCTTGGAGATGTTTTTTTTCTCTCTATGGATTTTTTCAAGCCTTCGGATTTTTACTTGTTAAAGTTCAACGCTTGCAGTCTCTACTTTTATTTTACGAAGAAGCAAGGTCCTAAGCCTTTAGATACTTGTGAACAATACCTTGTTAGGATCTTTGAAGGCAGAGTGGTTGCTGAATATGGTTGCCAGCAGACTTCACAATTCTGGTGACTGCACCTCAGACAAGATATTATAGCACTGGAAAAGGTGCAGAAAAGGGCAACTAAAATGATTAAGGGGATGGAACACCTTCCCGATGAAGAAAGGTTGAAGAGCTTTTTTGCTTTGATAAATGACGATTGAGGGGTGACGTGATCGAGGTTTGCAGAACTATGCATGGAATAGAGAAGGTACAGAAAGAAGTACTTTTCTCCCTTTCACACAATACAAGAACTCCGTGGGCGCTCAATGAAATTAATGAGCAGTAGGCTTAGAACAAATGAAAGGAAGTAGGGGGCCAGTTTGGTGTAGCGGTTAAGAGCATGGACTCTAATCTGGGAGAACTGGGTTTGATTCCCCACTCCTCCACTTGATGACCTTGGGCAAGCCATAGTTCTGATAAGAACTGTACTTGAAAAAGAGCAGTTTCTGTCTGAGCTCTCTCAGCCCCCCCCCCACCTCACAGGGTGTCTGTTGTGGGGAGGGGAAGGGAAAGGAGTTTGTAAGCCACTCCGAGACACGTTTGGGTAGTAACATATGGAACAGAGATCTATGGCTGTTAGCCACAAGGTATAAATGGAACACTCTGTCTGGGGCAGTCATGCTCTGTATTCTTGGTGTTTGAGGGGCAACAGTGGGAGGGCTTCTGGAGTTCTGGCTCTGCTGGTGGACCTCCTGATGGCACCTGGGTTTTGGCCACTATGAGACAGAGTGTTCAACTGGATGGGCCACTGGCCTGGTCCAACATGGTTCTCTTACTTTCTTATGTTTGGTGTATAATTTATAGAGGTCTCTTACCAAAGAAGAGTTAGTTTGGCATAAAATTTTATTCCACCCCCACCCCCTTTAAAAAAAAAAAAAGCAGAGTTCTAGAGCCAACTCTGACTGCTGTCACTTTTCTGTAATATCCTGCGGCTGCAGTTTGGAACCGGGGCACAAGAAGAAGTAGATATTGGCTTTATACCCTGCCCTTCACTACCCAAAGGAGTCTCGGAGCGACTTACAAGCTCCTTTCCCTTCCCCTCCCCACAACAGACACCCTGTGAGGTGGGTGGGGCTGAGAGAGCTCTGACAGAAACGGCTCTTTTTCATGAACAGCTCTTATCAGAACTACGGCTTGCCCAAGGTCATCCAGCCAGGTGCAAGTGGAGGAGTGGGGAAATCAAACCCGGTTCTCCCAGATTAGAGTCCGCGCACTTAACCACTACACCAAACAAGACAGGTGGTTTGTGTCATGGCAAAGCTGTTTGCTCAGCAGCACCACTGAGAAATCTCTCTTGATGCTATTTTTCCCCCTCTCGTTAATGCAGATACGAAGGCCTGACCTCCCCTTGGAGCCTGTGGTTTATCCTGCCAACTCTCCTCAACAAAAGAAGGCCGTGCTTTCTCCTCAGCAGGATAAGCAAGAAGTGGATAACCCAGAACCTCTGCCTCCTGAAAGGCCACCAGAAGCCATTTCTCCAGAGTCCCTGACTACTCAACACACCTTCTCGCCTCCCATAGCCCAGGGGCTCATCTCCCCTGAGGCATTTCCAAAGATAAGCGTGAGTGGGACTGGGGGCTTTTGTGTCTGTGTTGCCTCTCAACACTTCTTCATGTAGCTTGCAATGCACCATTGCCCGGCCTTCTACTTCTTCTGGCTCCTCTGCCATGTATCCCACATTTGCAGGCTTTGAGTAGCCTGGATGTAACCAAGGCTGTTATTAGGGAGGGATGCTGGACCAGGCAGGAGGCTGAAAAGATCCCACCCTTGCTTGTTATCAAAGCACCAGTTGTGATGGACATTTTCTCTTCTCAACAACTCCTGGAAGGTAGGTTAGGCTCTGAGAGGTTAGCTTCTTAACTCAGGGGTTTGAACCCAGACTCCCATAGTCAGTGTCAAACTCTCGACCACAGCAGGTCCGGGTGGACTGATGCTTTTCGGTATCCTGCACTCAGGGAGGATTTCACAGCCTCTCTAGATCAGGGGCCTCCAACATGGTGCCCGTGGACATTGTGGTACCTGCTGACACCTTTCCTGGTGCCCACCAGGGGGTTTAGAGAAAAGTGGGTGTGGCCAACAGAGTTTCTGATTGGCCGCTGGCTATCAGAGAGATACTGCCAAATGAGTGCTTCTTAGCTTGCTCAGTACAGATACTTGTGGGTATGCAAGGAAATACTTTTAAACAGGGGTCATTTCCTGCAGGAGTGCACAGGAGCGGAGTTCCGGCAGTAAAGAGCCCAGGGGGCGGGCACATGCAACAAGCCCCACCCCCTGCTCCCAGCAACCCTCAGTCAGAGCAAGAAGTAACCAGGGAAGTTGCAGAACTCCCCTCGGCCCCCCCTGTCCAAAACAGTCCAGTGGCACCTTTAAGACCAAGTTCTATTCAGGTACAAGCTCTCCCTCCACTGCAAGGACAGATCTGCACGTCCCCCCCCCCAATAGCTAGCAATCCAACACAGTCCAGTGGAGCCTGAGAGAAGTTGCAGAACTCCCCTCGGGCCCCCCTGTCCAAAACAGTCCAGTGGCACCTTTAAGACCAAGTTTTATTCAGGTACAAGCTCTCCCTCCTCTGCAAGGACAGATCTGCACGTCCCCCCCTCCCCCAATAGCTAGCAATCCAACACAGTCCAGTGGAGCCTGAGCAGTGGGTGTTGCCTTCGGACACACTTCCAGTGATGTCAGGGGGTGTGGCATATGCAAATAAGTTATGCTAATGAGTTATGCTAATGCGCTCCTGCACCTCTTTTTCTACTAAATGACCCCTGCTTTTAAACAATACGTTCATCTTTAAAAGCATCCTGTTAAGCAGAGCTTCAGCCTGAAATGATGAGGGGCTACAATCAGAGTTACACGTAACTACATTCCCTGGCATTTTATGGTTGGCTTCACATGCTGCAACAACCATTTTGTGGTCACGCCCACCACCCTGTGTCAGATTTCCAAAGGTGCCCGATGACTTGAAAAGGTTGGGGACCCTTCCTACAGATGAACTAGAATAAGCTTGTGCTACTGCCACCCCATGCTGCTTATTAAGTGTCTTCGACATCTCTGTGTTACTTTATTATTCCCTATGACTTCCTGCTCTGAGAGAGCACGGGATAATATAACTTCACCTGCTGTGTTCAACAACAATCCAGAAATGGCTGATCCTAGTGCTTTTAACGCACTGCAAGTTCCAAGAACAGGGAATGATTCTATTTCCAGCTCCTGCCTTCTGGATAATAAGTTATTGGAGGAGGAAGTTTTGGAATCCTTTAAGGCTCTGCCACTGACTGAGCAAAAGTTGGTCATGGATAGACTGGAAGTTGTAAGAACTAATTTCTTTAAAAATATGACGGATAAGCCCAGCCCCTCTATTAGCCCAATGACAGGGGCTTCATTAATTAATGTTGAGTGTACTGAGATCCAGGTCCAAGCAGTTGTTCATCAACCTGAGCCCTTTGGTCCTATTTTTTCATCTGCACTAAGGGAGGGGTGGGATTCTAGTTCTAAGTTTTCAGGCAAAAAGGACCCCTCCCGGTATGCTGGTACCATTAGCAACGGGTGTGTCAATCTGACAAATAACAATTCTTTAGATCAACTTGTTGAGATGGATTGACTTCCGGATAGTACTCCACCCATGACAAATAAATTTGTCTCCTGGAATTTTATTATTCATTAAGCACCCTTGGCAACATTTTTAAAAATCTTTGTTAAAAGGCCTCTACCACTGGCTTATGATCAGAGTCCCATACATTCAAGACTCTGTGCATGCATTTTCAAGGTCTTGGTTCTTACCTTTAAAGCCCTGTGTGGACAGGGACCAACATATCTACGGGATCGGCTCTCTCTGTACTGCCCCCGAAGGGCCTTGCGCTCTTCTGCTCAACACTTATTGGTTATCCCCAGCCCCAAAGATGTCCACCTAGCCTCTTCCAGAGCCAGAGCTTTCCCAGCCTGGTGGAACACTCTCCGTAGTGAGATCTGGGCTCTGCGGGATCTAATGCAGTTCCGCAGGGCTTGTAAAATGGAGATGTTCCACCAGGCCTGCGTCCACCAGGCAATCCAGCTAAAATGGTCTCCCCTGCTCTGCTCTGTTGAGCTCAGCTCTGGCTAGCAGCATTTTGATCCATCATAGCTGCTCTACTCACCCACCCGCTTCCCCTGCACTGCTTAGATCTGCAGCTATATAGCAATAGGAACTTCATCCAGTTCCGCAAATTGTCTTACTGGCACCCTTGAGATTTTTATATAGTAATACTGGTTTGTATCTGTTTTATGGCTATATTTTATTCTTCAAGCTTTGTATGTTTTTAAGGATGTTGTAACCTGCCCTGAACCTACTGGGCAGGTGAGGGCAGACTAGAAGCCCAGCAAAATAAATAAATAAATGTAGAGAGAGAGAAGATTCCTCCAAATGTGGCATCAGGCGTAAAATTCAACTTCATGAAAGCTTTGGCTAATTAAGAAAAACAAGCTCCCTAGTAGCCCTTGTACTTGGAGGAAGGTGGGCAATATCTGCTGAAATCTCAGATGCTTAAGGAATGGCTGTCGAAGGCTTCAAGTGGAGCGTGTGGCACCTTTCATAATTCTTTCCACTTCCCTGAGGCTGGCAAATCCAGAATAAAGTATGTAAATGAGTAAACCTGGCAGAACAAATCATGCAAAGCAGGAGGAAATATACTCCATTTGCATACTATATACAGGTCACTGAATTCAGCTTCCCTTGGGGTGAAATATCATCTGTGTTTAGCATGGAGTATATCCCAGCCTGAGAATAAGCCCTTTTCCACCCCCCTGAGGATGCTGGAAGATTGGCCAACTGAGGGATGAGTCGAGTAAGGCCAGGTGTTTACCTTGAACCTGTACAGAGTTCAGGTTGCTTAACCCCACAATACATCAATTTATACGAGGTATGGTGCATTTGTTCCGTGCACCTCAGCTTTTAGTCACGCCGGCCACATGACCACGGAGAAGTCTTTGGACAGTGCTGGCTCTTCGTCTTGGAAACGGAGATGAGCACCACCCCCTAGAGTCGGATTCGACTGGCTTTCGAGCAAGGGAAACCTTTACCTTATGGTGCATTTAATTATCTATTTTGGTTTGTATCCTGCCCTGTCTTGAGGGTTAAGCGCTGTTAACAGCAGATATTAATTTATATATATATGGGTCCAAGTATGTCTCTTAAAGCATTGGTCCTCAGCTGGTGAGTCAAGACCCACAAACAGGTCATTCTTTGGCTTACAGAGGGTTGCACCAACACCAGTTTGTTTTTTCTTGGTGGCATTTGGGTTTCTGTTTTCTAGATGAGGAGAGAGGAGGCAGGAGGAGAAAGGGGTTATCAGACGCCAAAGAGGTCAGAGTTCTTACACAGAAGAAGATATTTTGCCGAGTGCAGATTTTTTTGTCCCCGAATGACGCACTGAGTCTGCCTCTGCCAAAAATTTATTAAACTACAGGAGCTTCCCCACTTCCCCTTTTGTTTGGTCATTCAGAAGCAAGGAGAAAAACGGGCACATAAAGTAGAAATGCAAAGTGAATTTTTCACCGTACATTGAGGTGGGGCGGGATCATGCATCTAAAAAGGTCAGCTAGACCATGGAAATGGACCAAAGTGCAGAGGCAGCCTAGGGTAACGTCCAACTTTCAAAACAGCGGTCACCAAAACCCGGTGAACAATGAAGGAGGAGAGGAGGAGGAGATTGGATTTGTACCCCACCCTTCACTCGGAGTCTCAGAGCGGCTTACAAACTCCTTTCCCTTCCCCTCCCCACAACAGACACCCTGTGAGGTAGGTGGGGCTGAGCGAGAACCGTCCTTGAGAGACCAGCTCTGACAGAACTATGGCTTGCCCAAGGTCATCCAGCAGCTGCGAGGAGTGGGGAATCAAACCTGGTTCTCCCAGATGAGAGTCCACGCAATTAACCACTACAGCAAACTGGCTCTCTAACGGTGTGCTAGGGTACTAGGAGGAGACCAGTCATCTGTCGCCAGGAACAAGCAGGTGGACCATGTCTTTATCTGTCTCCCTTTCCTGACTTCCACAGAGAGCGATTTCAAGTCGCAGGCTCAGCTGTTGTGCCGCTGACTCAGAAGCAGGCATCTCAGCAGCAACCCTTGTAGAAAATAAGACTGCGGACATGCCTCTGAGCAGCTCTGCTTCCAACCTGAGGTCTCTCCTCTTTACTAGAGGCCGCTGGGGAAGGATTACATTGCTTCCCCAATGCCTCTACCCAGCAGAGGGTCAGTTCCTCCTCTGCTGCTGCTGCTGCAGTCTTGCTGAACACCAGCAGATCGGCTTAGCAACACAGGCCCCATTTTTCACGACTTCTTTCTTTTCCACCAGGTCGAGTTCCTGCCTTACGACGAGAGGCCTCTTCCAGCTATCCGTAAGCAGCAGGAGGAAGGGTACACCGTCTACGAGCCCGAGGTGATCGAGGAAGATCCTGGCGACACACCGAGAAGTGGCATCACTGGCGAGCCAGAACCCTTGACGGAGAAAGCGCTGAGGGAGGCCGGGCCAGCCATTGAAGTGCTTGGGGAAGCCTTGGTAAAGACATGCGAGTCTGAGATGAATGGGTAGGGCAGATTTCTTACACACCTGCCCAGAAGAGGCAAGGCAGATGGCTTGGCCATAAACGTTTCCAGGACATGCACCTTGATGTAATTGGAGAAAGGTGCAAGGCAGCACATGTGGGTTCTCAAGCCTAATTTCAGGATAGGGTCAAAGTGAAACGCTCCCCACTGAGAGAGGTTGAAAGGTCTGGCACACCGTTAGAAAGCACTCAAGCCCAGAACCAGGGTACAGAAGAGAAATGGAGCAAAGTGTGCCTTGACCACCCTGTTTCAGTGTTCCAGTAGCGGTTCCTCCGTGGAACAGGCTTCCTCGGGAGGTGGTGGGCTCTCCTCCTTTGGGGGGTTGTAAGCAGAGGCTAGATGGCCATCTGACAGCAATGCTGATTCTGTGAACTTAGGCAGATCATGAGAGGGAGAGGAGGCAGGGTTGCCTCAGTGCTTAGTTCTTGTGGCCCTTTCTTACACGCCCAGGAAAATGCTGATCGCCACTTTGGGGTCAGGGAGCAATTTTTCTCCCGGCCAATTTGGCCAGAGATCCTGGAGAGCTTTTTTGCCATCTTCTGGGCATGGCGCCAGGGGGTCACTGGGGGTGTGAGGGCGGGTGAGGTATTTGTGGATTTCCTGCACTGCGCAGGGGGTTGGACTTGATGACCCTGGAGGTCCCTTCCAACTCTGATTCTCAGAGGCACAAGGTTTGAGCTCCCACAGAGACCCACTTCATAGCTCTCCGGTGATAAGGCAGAGAAAAGCTTCTGCCAAAACCACAGGGACAAGCTATACACGCTTGCCTTCTTTAGGCTGTGTTCAGCCCCCACCGTTTCCATTTGGCAGGTTGCCGGGGCCTATTCCAAAACGTGGTCCTATCGCGAAGACGCCTTGCTTGCCATATACAAGAAGATGATGGAGATGCCCATCAGTACGCCAAAGGAGGATCTAAAGAACTTGCTCAGGGCTGCCATCTTCCTCGTAGTGAGAGCCATAAAGGACATAGTCTCCTCAGTGAGTAAGAGTGTGTTTGTACAGCTCTGCATTGGCTTTTTTTACATCTCCCATGAAAGATCTCCCCTTTTAAGCCTGTATTTTATATACCAATCTGTGGGCATCTAGCAGTGGCAGATGATTTCCCCACCACCACTCAATGCTTTTCCATTCCCGATTGCCACCAGTGTTCCCTCTAAGCTGAGTTAGTGTGAGCTAGCTCATAGTTTCTTAGCCTCCGGCTCACACATTTTTGTCTTTGCTCGGGAAGGAGGGCTCCACAGCAAACTAATTTATGCAGGAGCCAAATCGCTCGCTCGCAACTTTAATGCCAGGAGCTCACAGAGTAGAATTTTTGCTCACAAGACTCCACCGCTTAGAGGGAGCACTGATTGCCACCCAGTCGAAACATCTCTCCCGCTTACCTACAGATCCTTCCTTCTCTTTCCCCACTCCAAACCTGTCTTTCACTTTGAGTGTCCACCTTATCCCAAACCTAGGACTCCCTGGACTTTCCCAAATCTTTCTTCCCCTAATCCCTGCCTTCAAACGCCTCCCTCTCTTTCTTTCCGACACATGTCCTTTTGTGTCCTAAATCTGTTTCCGATTTGAAAATCCTGGTTCTAGTTTCTTTCTACCAGCTTAGCAAACAAAGCAAATTGTTTGGGATAATTGCCGTCTTCTTCAGTGGTGTCTTTTGTGTGTGTGTCTGTTTAATGGTAGGTTTTCCAGGCTTCCTTGAAGCTGTTCAAAATGATCATCACTCAGTACATCCCCAAGCACAAACTCGGGAAGCAGGAGACGGCCCACTGCGTGGAGAAGGTGTTTCCCAACCTCCTGTCCAGAACTGGGGACTCCTCAGGTCGTCTTCGTGTTGCCGCTGCCAACTTCATCAAGGTAAGCAGGCCTGCAGAGGCTCCAGCGCTGGATCGGATGCTGTTCCCAAGCTGTGTTTCCGAGAAAGGAAATGGGAGACAAGCTGGGGAAGCCAGTCAGGAGCAATGCTCCCTCTAAGCTGTGGAGTCCTGTGAGCAAAAATTCTACTTTGTGAGCTACTGGCATTAAAGTTGTGAGTGAGTGATTTGGCTCCTGCATAAATCAGTTTGCTCTGGAGCCATCCTTCCTGAGCTAAGACAAAAACCTGTGAGCCGGAGGCTAAAAAACTGTGAGCTAGCTCACACTAACTCAGCTTAGAGGGAACACTGCTCAGGAGGTGCTTGAATGCACCACAGTGCTGTGGGGAAGCCGGGGGGTAACCCCACTTCCCGAAAGCATTGAACCTGCAGCAGACAACCTGTGTTGAAATGGCCATAGAGAGATGGCTTTATTTGAAGTTTGTCTTATCTGCCCAAACTCAAGAGTTGTACTGGGGGATGTAGAGAATTAAGGCACAAGTAGCATTTATGCTTGTATGTCCACCAGATCAAAAATGGAGGGGGGGGGCTAATATAAACACGGGTTGAGTTCTTTGAAGCTTCTTTAGCTGTACACTGAAAGCTCTGGCACTGGCTAATCAAAATGAACCCTATTGGCGTCGTTCCAGTGGGTTTATGGGATGTTAAATGAGATTATTCTGAATGCTGCCACTGCTCAGAAGTTCAAAAACTATTCACCTGGAAAACTTAGGGGCAGAAAGGCGGATGGAGGAAAAGGGCACAGAGGCGATGTGACTAGGCAGATTGTTTGGTCTGTTGTTCCCCTGTGTGAAAAGGCAAACATGTGTGACAATAAATAATGTGTGTGTATAGATCCAGGTGGGTAGCCGTGTTGATCTGAAGTAGTAGAACAAAGTTTGAGTCCAGTGGTGCCTTTAAGACCAACAAAGGTTTATTCAAGGTATGAATTTTCGTGTGCATGTACATTTCCCCAGAACTGTTTATCTTCCATTTCAATGTATCTGAGGAAGTGTGCATGCACATGAAAGCTCCTACCTTGAATAAACCTTTGTTGGTCTTAAAGATGCCACTGGACTCAATATGTGTGTATATTAGAGTTGTTGTGAGTAGTGTGTGTGGGAAGGGATTTAAGTGCAATGTGTTGGGGTGGGAAAGAACCAAAGCAAATTCACAGGTGCATCTGTGTCTCCATGAATTTGGTCTGAGCCCCCTTTGCACCCCTTCTTGGATACGTTTTTAGAACCTAGTGGGCAGATTTCCATCATCTCCTTGACTTGTACCCATTAACACACTTGTATGCACAATGCTCCCGTCTCTGGTCCTAGCTCCTGTTAACCTAGCAGTTCAAAAGCAAGAAATTGCAAGTAGATAAATAGGTACCGCTTTGGTGGGAAGGTAACATTGAGCAAGGGAAACCTTTACCTATGCACAATGGAGAAAGGTTGAGACTTGTAACACATGGATCCCCCTCCCCCCAAGAGGTAGATTAATGGAATGGTGCAAAACTAGAGAGGAGGGGTGGGATGCAGTCTACTGATTGGAAGATTTCGGCAATGGAACACCCATGTCTTTTCAGGGAATATGTTTGTGTGTAATGTTTTTATTCCATTTTTAAATACATGGATTCCCCCCACCCCCCCGAGAGGTAGATTAATGGAATGGTGCAAAACTAGAAAGGAGGGGTGGGATGTAGTCTACTGATTGGAAGATTTCGGCAATGGAGCACCCATGTATTTTCAGGGAATATGTGTGTAATGTTTTTATTCCATTTTTAAAACGCCTCGCCCCAAAAAAGCTCAGAGGAATTAAAATCTAATACAAATTAAAGCTATTAGTGGAAATAAAAGTTTCAAGGCTTGATTGCTGATAGGTGGTGGAGGTTTGGATGAGCCTTTTCTCGGGACGGGTGCCCCTAACCGCTTGCTTGTTTCTTCCCCTCTTCAGGAAACGGCGCTCTGCACCGAAGTGAAGCCTCTTCAGATTATACCAACTCATTTGGTACAGCCACTGAAGTCCAATTCCCCAACGCATCTGGCGATGAGCCAGGTGGACTTAGTGGAACGTTTGCTGAGAGATCTCGGGACAGATAACACCGGCTTTACTGTCGATAATGTCATGAAGGTAGGGATCTGAGCTGCCGCGGCTTATTTACCCAGCCCAGGGATTTGGGCCAGCGCTTCTCCTGCAAAAGGAACGAAACATGCCCTGCTTTCCCATTTGGTTTGCTTCAGCCTAAGATTAAGTGACTTAAAACCGCTCCTGAAAAAATACTCTTTTTCGGCTGGCCTCTGGGAGAATTAAGTTCCACAATGCCGATTACTCTCCAGCATATCACTGAATATGATTCACCTTTCAGGAGAACATGGGATCATTCCCCCACATAGGAAATGTGTAGAAGCAGTGCAGAAGTAAGGCACTTACTCCCGAAAAAGTTTCCCACAGATCACCTATCTTTTGACAACATCAGTGCTGTTCAGGGTGTATCACTTGGCCCGACCCATGTGCTGGGCTCACCTCTATTACTGTTGTGTTTCTTCCATGTTCATTGAATTGACCTGCAAGCAGGGCTCTTTTTGTAGAAAAAGCCCACCAGGAACTCATTAGCATAATAGGCCACACCCAACAGCAGAAACTCATTAGCCTATTAGGCCACACCCCTGAGCACAGCTCATTAGCATATTAGGCCACACACTCCATGTTACCAGAAGTGTGGTCATCCAGCCACGCCCACCTTTTGCTTCTTATTCTGTTGACCTAGTTTGTGATCAAAACCCAGGGCTTTTTTTGTAGCAGGAACTCCTTTGCATGTTAGGCCACACACCCCTAATGTAGCCAATTCTAATGCGTTTCTGATGTTGGGTGTGGCCTATTATGCTAATGAGTTTCTGCTGGGCGTGGCCAACTTGGGAGTCAGCCGGAACTCCGTTCCTGTGCGTTCGTGCCCAAAAATAGCCCTGCCTGCAAGAATCGCTTTGTGAAGGAGGAGAACAACATAGGGAGAGAGGGAAATTTTGACCCTTTTCTCCCTTGCCTTTTTCTTACTGTTAAAAAAAAACCCCACATGCACCGTTCCAAGCTGCTTTTACCTCTGCTGGGGGGGAAACACAGGTTCTTTTAAAGTTTTTCCCTCCAGTAGGGATATCAGCAGCTCTGGGGTGGCTTTTTCCCCAAGAGAAAAACAGCAGGGAGGAAAAGGTCAAAATTCCTTCTTCAGAAAAGCAAGCCCGGCAGGTAGATTTGCAAAAATAAAGAAGCTGATCTAAATAAATATGGAAGGAATTGTAACACGTAGTTGAGCCTACAGGTTCATGTTCAAAGAAACATGGAAACCCCCAAAGCAAGCACAGTCTTCCTAGAAACAGCCTCTCTTGACTGCCTGTTCTTAGGGGGACAGGACGAATGTTCCAGGGTTAGCAGCTGTTATAGGGAGTTCATCACCTGTTGAGTAAACCCAGCATTGCAATTTACACATCTGTGTATATGCAAGTTATACCTCATCAGCTTTCAGTCTCGACGGTCTCTCTTCCACTCCTTCACATTTCAAAGCTTCGTGTATATGTTTTATATACTCACGTCTTCATCCTTCACTTTAAAAACAAAATTGTATATTTTTTAAAAGAGTTACATGGCTATTCCGGGTATAAGATGAGAGACAGCGTTGACATGACACGCATGAGCCCATAGACACCCTCCACAGAGAGTGTTCCTTTGACACAGATTCAGTTTTCCAGTGCTTGCTCTCAGATGAGAAAAATATGTGTGTGTGTTTCATGGCAGCAAAGGCACTTTTGAATGACCTCCGTCACCCTCAGGGGTCATTTCGTAGAAAAAGAGGTGCAGGAGCTCGTTAGCATAACTAATTTGCATATGCCACACCCCCTGACATCACTGGAAGTGTGTCAGAAGGCAACACTCTCCACTCAGGCTCCACTGGACAGTTTTGGATTGCCAGCTATTGGGGGGGGGGGGAACGTGCAGATCTGTCCTTGCAGAAAAGGGAGAGCTTGTACCTGAATAAAACTTGGTCTTAAAGGTGCCACTGGACTGTTTTGGACCGGGGGGGGGGGTTTCTGCAGCTTACTTGGCTGCTTCTTGCTCTGACTGATGGCTGCTGGGAGCAGGGGGTGGGACTTGTTGCATGTGCCCGCCCCCTGGGCTCTTTACTGCCAGAGCTCCGCTCCTGTGCGCTCTTGCAGGAAATGACCCCTAGTCACCCTTATAAACCTTACATCTTTCTTTACCCACAGTTTGCAACAGCCACTCTGGAGTACCGGGTGTATGAAGTCCGAGAAACAGCCATCCGGATCATCTTAGACATGTACCGGCAGCACCAAGCCGTCATCCTGGATTACCTTCCTCCTGACGATGCCAACACTCGCAAGAACGTTCTCTACAAGACAATCTTTGATGGGTTTGCTAAGATAGATGGCCGGCTCTCAGAGGGCGAAGTAAAGGTAAACACGAGGGGCTGTGGCGATCACGTCCCGTGGTTCTTTTAGGGACTGCTGACCGGTGCATGAAGGCAGGTTGTAACAGACTAGTTCTCGTGATCAAGTCTGTTAGGAAGTTGTGCATAAGCCTCTCCCCGCCCCCATATGCACCAAACGTCTGTGCCTTATGCAAATGTTTCAGGTTATACAGGTGAACTAGGTGGGATCGCACTTGCCCAGCCCCTCCAAGGACTGTACCTTTATATTGTACATCAAACTCAACACATGTATGTTCCAACCTGCACACTCCAAACTTTGCTTATTTATTTGATATCATTCAACATGCAACTGCTGGTTTGACCTTGGTTCAGTTACAAGTTCTTTCAGAGCTGTTCTCTCAAGAGCAGTCCTCGAAAGAGTTCTCTCAGCCCCACCTACCTCACAGGATGTCTGGTCTGGGGAGGGGAAGGGAAAAGAGATTGTAAAGGCGCTCTGAGACTCCGAGTGAAGGGCGGGGTATAAATCCAATCTCTTCTTCTCTCTCTTTTCTTCTGCAGTAGAATTCAGGATACTCGATTACTGTTTTACATGCTTTTTAAACCTGTATCTTAGTTTTAGTTTTTATTGTTATGAGTTGTTTGAATGATATGTTTTTCTGATAGATTCAGGTGGGTCGCCATGTTGGTCTGAAGCAGCAGAACAAAGTTTGAGTCCAGTGGCACCTTTAAGACCAACAAAGTTTAATTCTGGGTATAAGCTTTCATGTGCATGCACACTATGATTTTATAATTTTTTTTAACTATGACCTGCCCTCATTGGGCAGAAAGAAAGCATGCACATTTTGTAAATAAAAAAGTAGTAAATAAAGGGGGGGGGAAGGGAGTTCCCTGGCAGCTGTCCCAGCCAGGCACTAACCAGACCCCGGATCTACTTTTCTTCCATTGCCAGAATAAATAAATAGTGGTGATATAGGACAACCCTGTCAAGTGTCTTTTGCTACTTCAATTTTCTCCGCTAAGGAGCTATTTATTAAGATTCATGTATGCTGGTCTGTATAAATATTTTAAAAATTCGGTTCCACAATTCATATGTTATAGTACTTCCATTAAAAATAACCAAGACATGTTATCAAAACCTTTCTCTACATCCAGAAACATACATGCTGTTTTTTCTCCTTTTCTCCTTGAATATTCAATTTCATTCAACCAATATCTGATATTATCTTTCATATATCTCTTTGGAACAAATCCCGTTTGATCTTCGTGAATTAGGTCTCGGATACATTTTCTTAGTCTCTCAGCCATTATTGTTGTAAAAAAATTATAATCCACATTTAGTAGTGAAATTGGTCTATATGATTGTGGTAATAAAGGCTCATCCTTGTGTATTAAAGTTATATTCACTTCTTGCCAAGTTGGTGGTATATGCTTTCTCTCTTGTATTTCATTCTTTACTCTTTGCAGAGGTATTGCTAGTATATTTTCAAAGTATTCATAATATGTTGCTGTCAATCCATCTGGACCAGGCGCTTTATCTTTTTAAGGTTTTTTTAATAGCATGATTTCTTGTGTGGTTATCACTTGATTTTAAATTCTTCTGTGCTCGGACGTTAATTTTTTAATTGGTACTTCAGATAAATATTCCTCTATTCCTTCCCCATCGATAGATTCTTCTTTATAAAAATTTGAGATGAAATTTTTTAAATGTTCACGCATAAACTACTTGATTTCCTTTCCTGATCCCAGGTATCCTTCTCCCCCCCCCCTTTCTATTCTTAAACAATGCACTAAGTATCTTCCAGGTTTATTTGCAGATTCAATATGTTTGTTTTAAATATTTCACTTTTTTCTGCATTTATTCTATTTTTTTTACAAATTTATTTATGATTTTCAATTACAAAAAAATAACAATATTTATAATTTTCATTACAAAACCACAAAAAGAAAGTAAACATAAAAATAAAAACCAAATAGAAAAGAAACAATATTTTGTATATGAAATATATTTATGGAGTTACGCATTCTTCCCCAACCATTTATTAACTCTAAACCATCTCTTTTGAAAAGCCTTATCCTCTTTACCTGAAAGAATCATGTTCAACTTGTCCATTTCTGCCACATCACAGATTTTCATAATCAACTCCTGTTCTTGTCCTAATATCTTCAATTTATCTGTTATTTTCTTTATAGACTTTGGTTTCTCTTTTTTCTTTCTTGCAGCTATTGCCAATAAAGTTCCTCTGACGTAAGCTTTGCTTGGCTTCCCATATGGTTGACCCAGTGATTTCGTGTTGTTCAAATTAAAATATTCCATCAGGTCTTTCTTACATTTTTGTATTACTTCGTCTTGTCGTAATACTACGTTATTTAATCTCCATCTTCTTTCTCTCTTACTTCCATTCTTCCACTATTGGATTATGATCCACCAAGATTTTTGGCAGAATCTCTGCTTTCCTAACTTTTGTAATTAAGGTTTTTGATATCCAACACATGTCTATTCTTAAATATGATTGGTGTCTACCAGAGAAATATGTGTAGTCTCTCTCATCTGGATGAAGTAGACCTCTTCCAGTTCTAAAATGTCCATGTATCTAAATACATTTTTTCCTCCATGATTTTTTAATGTGTCTTTTTTGGAATCTAATACCCCATTCATATCTCCAAAGATTAGAATCTCACCTTCTTGAAAGGCTGTGTCCTTCAGTTATTCGAGGACTTCCAAACTTTGGTTGTTAATATATATTGCTACCCTTTTTTTCTTCATTTGTGCAGATGCAATATATACTTTACCCAATAGTTTGCAATTTAATATGTGTTCTTGGTAATTCTTGATATGAGTTTTCTAGACACATAGTATTTCTGCTTTTAATTTCTTTCACTGATTAAAGATTTTTTTTATTGTTTAGAGGGTGAATTTAACCCATTCAAGACCTACTTATCTTCAGCAGAGTGGCTGTATCACGCACCATCCAATCAAACTCCCGTGGGATAGATTTCATACCTGGGGCCTGTGCAAATGCAATAGACTGACGTTGAGGGTCGAGCAGTCCCAGTTCTGATCCTCCTGCCCTGTGCAGCCTCCACCCTCATTTCAGTTCCCTTCTCTCAGGCAGAAAAAATGACATGAGTCCATGCAAGCTTTGCTTGTGCCCAAGCTTGCTCAGTTGCCAAGCTGTGAACATTTAGAAATCCTGTCTCTATGCCAGACATCATCTGGAGTACCAATATCTGGAACAGGGACAAGTAAGTTCTGCGAGCAGCTGTGGTCCCAAACCACAGCTTTGGGACCATACCCAAACCACAGCTTTGCCTTCAGCTCTGTGTTGTTGTCTTGACAGGCGCAGAAAAAGGTGGCTACGGAAGAATCGGAGAAACAAAAGAAAGATGAGATCAAAGCTTTGCAAGGTCAGCTAGCAGCACTGAAGGAGATGCAAAATGACACTCCCAAGGTATGTGACTGTGGCCACTGCCCCAACACACTTTGACCAGACATGGTAGTGGGACCCAGAAGACCTATGGGCTTGCTCTGTGATGCCCTTATACTCCTTTTGGTCTCTTTAGCTGTAGGGACCTGACTACATGATACATTTTTCCTGGGTACCTCCCTCATAGCAGGTCACAGATGTGTTCTGGGACTGCTGTGTTTCCCCCGTGTGCAGGGGCCTCATTCACATTTGAACTACGGTATGGTACACAAGACAACTCCTGCCAACCTAGCAGTTCGAAAGCAAGAAATTGCAAGTAGATAAATAGGGACCACTTCAGTGGGAAGGTAACAGCGTTCCGTGCGCCTCGGTGTTTAGTCATGCCGGCCACACGACCACGGAAATGTCTTCGGACAGAGCTGGCTCTTCGGCTTTGAAACTGAGATAAGCACCGCAACCCTAGAGTCGGACTCGACTGGCTTTCAAGCAAGGGAACCTTTACCTTTACCTTTTACACAAGACAAAGGGGCTTAGGACCACCCCCACCTCCCAGAGCTGTTTTCCCAACCTAAAACTAACCCAGGAGCTTGCTGTTTGCTCCATTGAGGAAACTGATGAGGAAACTGACATGTCGCCCTGTCAGTACATATGTAGCAGGGAGCAGGGTAAATGGTGGCTCCCTTAGGTTGTTCAGTGTGGGTGGTGAGTGCCAGGCCTCTTCCTCATTACCATGGCCTTGATGTGACTGAAGCCCCCATGCACTGGAGGAGCACAGGGTTCCCGAACCACATCTGTGATCTGACCTGGGGGAAAAGTAACATGCAGTTAGGCCCTTATGTTTAGTCAGATGGAAGACAAAGGTGTGCTGCTGTGCTTGGGGTTTCGTTTAGGATTTTAGTGCATGTTTGCATGCTGCTGGAATTCAGAAGCCAACCTTGCATGCATGCATGCACGCACATGCACACACACACCCATCAAGTCCAAAATCCATTGCTTGAAAATAGGATACAACTCCTCCTTCCCCAGGAGGATTGTCAGCACAAGGAAGCTTTAGAAGCTTTATAGAAGCATGTTTGTACTTTAGCAATATGAAGGTTTCATAAACTGAAATCAGATCCTCTTTCCCAGAACTATCTATTTCATTGATTTTTAACAGCATGCTGTGAGGAGGTCTACGCCTTGAAAAATTAAGCTACAGTATTGGATGCATTCAGCATTCTGTTCCTGTCCAAGCAGGGATCCCTGCTGCAGCACTGATCTCAGCTCTGGCTGCCAGTATGTGGGCAGCAACACCATCCCAAAGGGGGGGGGGGATGCACCAGAGGTCTGCAACGCAGTCCGTGTTGGGAAGGATCCCAGCAGTGTCTCCACGGCCCACAAACTCCTGAGCCTTGACTGACTCAGAGGACATTATTGACTGGGCTGTTCTGCAGTTACAAGAAGGATGTCTGTGCATCATGTTGGGAATAGAATAGGCATATTTTATGTCTCAGTTTAGTCTTTCCTGTTTTTAATTCTTTCCCCCCCCAAAAAAAAAAAAATTGGCTGCCATAGGTTTGAGGAACACTGAATTGCAGAGCCTGTCCAAGAATGCGAGCTTTCCCAGTCCTTCATCCCAAGATTCACTGAACTGGAGATGTCAGGGGTTGCATGTGCAGAGCATGTGCTCTGCCACTGAGCTGTAGCAGTGCGTATTGCTCAGTGAGGGTCATGGATCTGGGGACTTACTATGTTTTGGGGTGTTGTTTTGTTTTTTTTAGGAAAAAGAGAATGATATTCAGCAGTCCAACATTCAAGGTAGGTTTTTAATGCTCTTATCATCTGGCGTAACCATATTTGTGATTTAGAATGAACAGGGTGTTGTACTCAAGTTTGTGTGGTCTAAGAAGGGTAGGGGGGCTCCTAAATTCACACTAAGCTGTATGTTGGTCTAAAGACTGTAGTGAAACTACTATCACACAGTGGTTTTTGTGGCTGAGTGTGAATATAAATCTGGGTTTCCTTAAGTCCAATTCAGCAGCCTGTGAGCTGGTCAAGGGCTTGAAAGCTAAGCAGGGTCAGCCGTGTTTAGTACTTGGATTGGAGACCACCAAGGACATCCTGGGTTGCTTTGCAGAGGAAAGCGATGGCAAACCACCTCTGCTCATCTCTTGCGTTGAAAATCCCACAAGGGAGTTGCAGCTTGAGCTCACTTAATTATCCATCACTGCCCTGACCTAGACGGCCCAGGCTATCCAGATCTTGGAAGCTAAACAGGGTTGGCCCTGTTTAGTACCTGGATGGGAGACTGCCAAGGACGTCTGGGGTTGCTAAGCAGGGGCAGGCAGTGGTAAGCCACCTCTGCTCACCTCTTGCCTTGAAAACCCTATGAGGGGTTACCATGAGCTAGTTATGACTTGAAGGCATTTAATAGGATGAAGTCTCATTCTCTAACCATACTGGCTCATGTAATAGAATTGCGAGGGGACCCCAAGGATCATATAGTCTAGCCTCCTATGGACTTTCTTGGTTACAGCATCCCCTGGCAAATGGGACATCCAGACTGTGCTTCAAAGCCCCTCCCAAACTTGTACTGCTACCCGGCTAGCTATATCTCATGTCCTATACGTGTACATTTGATCTTTAGTTCTGGGAAACGAAGAGATCCACAAGAAAAGAAAGACTGCAGATATTGGTAAGGATCCAAAATAATGTGGTTTCATAGTTTGTTTCCTTTTTTAAAAGGAGAGTCTACCAAGAAAGCTCCCTTGCCTGCAACAACAGAGGTTCCCGAGGATCATTCCTCAGTTGCAAATTACCTTGACAAGTAAGTGAAAACAGCACTGCTGGCAAAGGGTAAGCCGAAAGAGCACGCAGCTGGGTAAGGAAAAGGTGTACAGATCCATGACTAACTCACAGGATCAAAACTCTGTGGCTTCTACACAAGAGATGTGTGCCAGAAGAAACGGACATCGAGTAAAGCTTGCAAAAACACGGGCACTAGAATTCTCTTTAGAAAATGGCTTAAGTCAGCTCAAAATACTGAATGACACAGCATGTGTGGTGTGCTGGGGGGGGGGGGGGGGCTCCCCCCAAAAAAAATTTCCAAAAACAAGCAAATCAATTTTGACATCATGAGACCTTTTAAATATGCAGAGGACTATTCCCCCAGCAGTCACGTTCTGTTTTGAAACCGCATTTATTTTTAAAGAAGTGAACACACTTTTTAAAGAAGTGAACACATACTATAAGAGCCATCTGGTTCTTTTGATTAAGGTACAAAGCATCAACTTAGACAAACGAGAAAGGGGTGCAAGAGTGGCTTTTTACTGTCTCCAACTCTCTGAAAAGCTGGAGAAACGAAAAGATCCTTCCTCAGACACTGGGAAACTCATGGGGATCTACATTGAGCTTGAAGCTAGAGCAGTTGTGTTTTTTCTTAATTTGTTGACAAGGCATTCAAAGCTGATGAGTCAAACATTGAGTCGAAACACCAATGCAGAACATTCTGTGGCTTCAAATCTGCACCAGCAATGAACAGGCCTGAGTTCTAGCTACAGATACGCAGGGTGCTTTGCAGAACCTCTAGAGCTGAGCTAGAAAAATGCCAGTGGCCAGCTCCACCCACCTCAAGTTAGAGAGCAAGAACACTACAGTGCAGTCTTTTGAGGGGTGAGCTACCTCTTCCCCACTCTGTTCTTTTTTTGACTGCCACAGTGGTTACCTTGTTGGGGAATGTTTTCCTCGGGTTTTTTGAACCAGGCTACCTTCCCTGAAACGTACACCTCTCCAGTTTTCTTTTTTTTCCTATTCTTGCGGTTTTTCCACACACCTATGACACAGCAGCCCACTTTGGTGTGGCAGCAAACTGCCCAATACCCAAGCAGCACAACTCCTGCCTCGTTTACCGGGCATACATTCAAATGCAGCATGCCATGGCCTACTTTGCTACAGTTTAGCTTTAGACAGTTCTTAATGGTATTCTGCTGTGGTTGCAGAACTCAGTAGTGCTACTCCACAGATGATTCTCTGAAAAGGTCAGTTACAGGTAAACAACCTGCTCTGCTTACCTTACAGGGATGTATATTTTACATAAGAGAAAAGAAGTCAGAGGAAAAACACTTTTTAACTCCTTTTTTTTACAAATTTATTTATGATTTTCCATTACAAAAAAAAGATAATATTTATAATTTTCATTACAAAACCACAAAAAGAAAGTAAACATAAAAATAAAAACCAAATAGAAAAGTAAAAATATTTTGTATATGAAATATATTTATGGAGTTACGCATTTTCCCCCAACCATGTATTAACTCTAAACCATCCTTTTTGAAAAGCCTTATCCTCTTCATCTGAAAGAATCATGTTCAACTTGTCCATTTCTGCCACATCACAGATTTTTATAATCAACTCCTCTCTAGCAGGTAGGTTTTCAGATTTCAGATTGAATTGCAGCGAGTACCAGAAATCTATTTACTTAATATAATACCAGATGGATATAGGCATGATGAACTATGTATTTTGTCATATATCCTTCTGCAGCCAGGATATTGGTTGCCAAGTGTTGGAAATCTAAAAAAAAAATTTAACTCCTTAAAGATGAAGCAAGTGAAAATGAGATTATCTGTTATCTCCCCCACACACACCCAGTTTCATTTTATGTAGGCCTGTGGATTAACGG